AATAACTCTAAAGGATGAATGCATACCCAGGTAAGAGAGCACAGAAGAAGCCCACACAAGGTAACAGAGTGATACATTAAAGGCTTAATCGGGCTGTTAGGAGTGAAGGCAAGAGCATTGCTTTGCCAAAAGACATGACCTTTGCAATCCTTGACCAGTGAAAAATAAGATAAAAGTTTATTAATTCATAATGTCTTGGTAAATTAATGATCCTACAGCATCAGGAAAGCCACAACAACTGGAAATATGACACCAACACAGTAATCCTCAATTGTACAACCTTGACCGAGACTTATAACTTACAACAACCTTTTTTTCCTGGTCATCCAATTTTAGACACCTCACAAATACCTTCATTCCCCATGTAGAATGTATCACACACAATTCAAAAAAGAAAAGTGAGAGCACCCTGAAGAGAGTTTAATGCGTGTAATTAATAAAGTAGTTACACAAAGACTGAAAGTCAAAAGGGAGCAATGTGGCAGAACAGAGATACCAACTGCAGAAAGAAGCCAGCACCCCCGGGGCTAAGGGAACATGCATAAGGAAAAGGTCACACTTGTTAGGGTGTAGTGAGCTGTACTGAAGAACCTAATAGTAATGTCATTTGGGAAAACAGAAACATGGTTTAAAATCCTTCTATCTCCATCTCTCACATCATGAAGTAAATTGTAGAAGGGTGAATTTGGGAAAGGCAGACAATAGCTTATCAACAAGCACATATGACCAACAGTATGGTGTGCAGAACAGAGACAATTCATTGATGGAATCATCCTATTCCAGGTGGAAGACCAGGTTCGATTCCCAACCAACGTACATCATGTGCAGCCACCACCTGTCCATAAAGGCTTGAGTGTTGACAGAATGTTGAACAGTTTTCAGCAGAGACTCCAGACCAAGGGAGACTACTAAGAAAGGCCTGGCAATCTGCTTCCAAAATGCAACAAAAGACAATCCTACAGAAGACAAAGAGATTGTAGTGACAGAGCATGATGATGAAACTTTTTCTTCCGTGGTGCAGGTGTCACCATGTGTCAAGAAGTCAAAACAAGAGCAACAAACAACAACATTATGTAAAGGGAGAAGATATGAGGAGAAATATCAGGAATATTGGGAAAAAGCACTTGCTTGTTCTTATCTTTCCTGCTGTGAGCTCTGATCACTTTGAGATCTTTAGCAGCTCAGGAGGAGTGAAAGATACATGAAAAAGTAGTCAACTATGAAGGAAAAATCTAAAAAGATGAGTAGTTCTCATCTTGGCTGAACATTAAAACCACATGCAGCCCTTTAAAGTCTAATATTGAAGACACATGCTGTCCTAATTAAATCAGACTCTGCAGTAGTGGAAACGTGACATTGATTTTTTAAAAACTTCCTAGATAATAATGTGAAGTCAAGATTCAAGAACAGTGACATGCATTTCTAAGTACCACAAACAACAACAACAACAAAATGGAATTGTGCATTTTATCAGAAAGAATGTTCATAGTTGAGAAAACAAAATGCTCCACGGCTATAATGGGATTTGATCATCC